CTAAAGCGTGACTTGTACAACGCTGAACGCTCTCACTAGAGTGTAGCCCACAGCGCCGCCACTGGCCTGGATGGCTGAATCGATTCATAGGATTTGATGAATCGATATTGAATTGAGAAGCAAAAAATTGCAATGCATTGATGAATCGATATTTTTACCCAGCCCTATGTGAAACCTTCTGACGCCGATCCATCGTCCAGTGTGAACACAGCAGCGACTGAATGCTGGCCAAGATAGTCATGCAGTGTGAAAAGAGCAGCGACCTGACTACTTTGAAAATCGTGCAGTCTGAAAGAGCCATAAGTATACACCCAAGACCTTCAGCCCTTCCCTACCCCATTTCAACCCACCAGGAAGCTGCGGAAGTCTTTTACCCATCCACTGACCAATAATAAAACCCTCACTTTTCCCCCAGTTTAACCTAGCTGAGGATGCCTTCTCGTATTGCTCAATACTCTTAGTTAAAACTGCAACATCATCCTGGCCTGTAATGAAAACAGTAACGTCATCAGCATAAGCCGATACAGACACCCTAGAACTTATGTCTCCATTTGGAATTAAGACCCCATTGAGATTTCCCCTTAGCTTACACAAAAGAGGTTCAATGACAAGGCTATATAACTGTCCTGAAAGTGGACAGCCTTGCCTAATTCCCCGAGAAACAGGTATTGGTGCACTTAAACCACCACCAGCCTTCACAAGAACATATGCATTGGAGTAACACAACTGAATATATGAAATAAAAATATCACCAAAGCCAAAATGCTGTAAAACATTATATAAATAGGCATGGTCAACTCTATCAAATGCTTTCTCTTGATCTAGAGAAAGAACACCAAACTCATAATTATTCAGCTGACCTATTTCAATAACATCACGCAATAAGGATATATTGTCCATTATAGATCTCTCAGGAATACAGTATGTCTGATCCTTCTGCACCAATAGACCCAGATAACACTTTAATCTATTAGCCAAACATTTTGAGAATATTTTGTAGTCAACACACAATAATGACACTGGTCTCCAATTTTTTAGAAGTCCCAGATCTCCTTTTTTTGGAAGTAGTGAAAGAACTGCCCGACTACAACTTATGGGAAGTTTCCTACTTTGACAGCATTCAGACAGTACCTCATAAAAGTCTTCTCCTAAAATACTCCAAAAACGTTGATAAAATTCAGCAGTTAATCCATCAATTCCTGGGGATCTACCCGTGGACAACTGCTGCATTGCCTCTGTAAGCTCTTGAAAGGTAATGTTATTATCCAGAGTCTTTTTCTGTTCACTCTCAATCTTCGGTAGATCATTAATTATATCCTCAGCACTTTCATGGTTACAGTTTTCAGAAGCATATAATTGTGAATAGAAATCCACCGACATCTTCCTTATTTCCACAGGATCTGTTGTTATAGAACCATCATGACGACGAAGATGATACATTTGCTGCTGTGTTGTATTTTCCTGTCCAAGATTGAAAAAAAATGTGCTAGGGGTATCCATGTCTTTGATAGAGCAAAATCTTGCCCTTATTAGCGCTTTCTTTACTTGCTCTTGTAGAAAAGTTCCAAGTTCTTTATTTTTCTTTCGTAGAGCATCATCATGCACAAGTTCATTATTATTAAAAATTCCTTGTTCTAAAAGTTCAATGTCTCTTTGTAATCTTTTTACAGTTGCCTTCACCACTGATCCAACATGGGATGAATAATTCTGACAAAATATTCTTATGTTCACTTTTCCAACTTCCCACCACTGACTGAGATTCTCAAACGAATCTTTCTTCATTTTCCAGTTTTTCCAGAAAAAAATAAATGAGTCACAAAAATTAATGTCCTGTAGCAATTTAGCATTAAAATGCCAGTAATAACTCGGTTTTGACATATTTTTTAAAATAAAATCAAAAATAACCATGTGATGGTCTGAAAAACCGTTGGGCAAAATAGAAGCATTCGTCACCCGATTATTCCATACTTTTCCCAAATAAAACCTATCTAATCAGGCACCACTGACTCTATTATCATTTACTTTAAGCCAAGTATATTGTCTAGATCTTTTATTAATCATTCTCCACACATCTAATAATTCGAATTCATGCAATACATTTACCAACATCCTACTTGATTGAGTATGTGGCTCTTCACCATTTCTATCAATTGTAAAATCCGTGGTGCAATTCCAATCTCCTCCCACAACAATACACACATTACTATCAATTGTCTTAATTAACCTTGTCATTTTCATAAAAAAAATCAATCCTCTCAGATCCATTATTTGGTGCATAAACATTCATTAGCACAAATACCATTCCTCCAACCTCAACCTTAGTTAACAACAGTCTACCTTTTATGACCTCATCCACAGCTAAAATATTAACATTGATATTTTTCGAAAATAAAATAGCTACCCCTGCGCTATTATTTGTCCCATGACTTAAAGTGAGCTTCCCTCCCCACCACATGCTCCATTCATTTTTATTATCAGTATCAGTATGGGTTTCTTGTAAAAAAACTACAACACAGTTAATTCTAAGAAACTCTGAAACCATTGGCAGTTTTGTCCTATCTCTACCTCCATTTATATTCAAGGAGTACACCCTCAAAAGCCCCTTAAGAAAAAGGAAATTAAAGAGACAGGACAGATAAAAACGTGACAGGCCTACAAAGTTTAGAAAACACCATGTGCAACTTCTTCATTTTACTTTTTTTTTCCTTCCTTAACCTTGTTATCATTTTCTTCAGACGAAATCTCTTTTTTTTATCTAAGGCTTCATAACTGACATTTCTTTGCAATGACAACACTGACCCAATGAATTTATCTGTGTCTGAAAAAAAATCCGTAACTTCCACTACTTTCCCAAATGTTGCATCCAAAAAGTTATTAATTTCATGCAACGTGTAAGTATCCTCCAAAACTTGTGAACCTATCTCAGAAATATCAGAGACTGACTCATCATCTCTTATCTCCTTATCCTCAGACATTTCAACACATCCAGATGTCCCTGCCACTTCATCATCCACATTTCCATGAATTTCAGCCTTTTCATTTTGATCAGCAAATCCCGATTTTTCACCTTTCTCACTAGACTCATTTTTATCAACCACATCATCAACAACAACATCCGTTTGTTTATCGCTGTGAACTTGAGCATTAGACTGTTTTACAGTCTCAGACTCGTTTGCTACCGCATCACTAGGCCCTGCAGTCTCCTCACCGTCCTGGGCTTTATGTGGACACGCCATCCTTTTGTGGCCCACATCCCCACACTCAAAACACTTCATGCTTCCAGAGTTTGCATAGATCATGTATGCCTTACCTTCATGCCATACTCTAAAAGAAATGTCTAATTCTGGCTCATTCAGAAACATGAACACCTGCCTCCTGAACGACATGACATGCTTTAATGCAGCATTTTTACAGCGAAGTGGAAGCATTTTAATTGCGCTAGCAAACTTCCCATAACGAACTAATCCCCGCTCAATCTCATCATTATTAATGAACGGGGGCACGTTTGATATTGTTATGCGCGTCGTCGGCGTAACCAGCGGTGAAACATTAATGAAATCGCCACTTACCACAATTCCGTTGATAACGAGACGATTAACTATCTCTTCCTCCTTTACAAAAATCACAACAGCCTTGTTCATCCTCGAAGCCGAAAAAATGCACATCCTCCACCTCCACACCTGGCGCAGGAACACACCTGACTCCATTACGCAGAGGCACAGGTGGCGGTGGCGGTGGCGGTGGCTCTCCCCCATTCGGTAACGACGCCATCCCAACACCGTCCCGGAAAAAAAAAACTTTACTCAACTTGACCTAATTTCAAAATCAACCGTTATACCCCAAATTTAAGATGAAAAAAAGGAAAAAGTAAATACCAGTCACCCTCTCCCCTAACGAAACCCCCCACACACCCAAACGCTCCCAGCGTGCACCGGAAGTGAGGGAGAGAGAGAGAGAGAGAGAGAGAGAGAGAGAGAGAGAGAGAGAGAGAGGAGAGAGAGAGAGAGAGAGAGAGAGAGAGAGAGAGAGAGAGAGAGAGAGAGAGAGGACGTTTAGGGGTTCGAACATTAACATTATTAGAACTCTGAACATTAAAAGCCATTTCTAATTCTTCTCTCCTTCGATTCCTAAAGGACTGAAAGATATGAAAGAAAGACTCTTTTGAATATTCAAAGTGATTTCATGTGTTTCCCTGCAGAAATCCACAGCTTGAAAAAGAAAAGAACTGAAATAATCTGATGAACAGCAGCGCTTCTAATGTTAATATTACAGTTTTTTACAGTCGCTAGGTCACATTTCTCAATACTTAGGTCACTTTTTCAAAACTCTTCACACAGTTCTCCTAACCAGCTTTCAGCTCAGCACAGCAGTTAATTTCACATTCAAAATGCACTAAAACTACCAAAACTACCAAAACACTTCATTCATTTCTCAAATCAACACATTCTTCCATAACACTTGCAAAGGTTGACAGCCAACACACTTTGTCA